AAGGCCCACTTGACTTCACTCTCCAGGATGTCTGGCTCAAGGTCAGCAACCACACTATCTGGGTTGTCTGGGACATCCAGATCTTTCTAGTATAATTCCACTGTGTATTCTTGCCACCTCTTCTTGTTGTCTTCTGCTTCTGTAAGGTCCCTACCATATTTGTCCTTTATCATGTCCATCTTTGCACAAAATGTTCCTTTATATTCTCTTGAACAGATCTCTGGTTTTCCCTTATTATTTTCTTCTATATTTTTGCACTGTTCATTTAAGAAGGGCCTCTTGTCTCTCCTTGATATTCTTTGGAAGTCTGCATTCCATTTTCTGTAACTTTCCCTATCTTCCTTCCATTTTGTTTCCCTTCTCTTCTCTGCTATTTGTAAGGACTCATTGGACAGCCATTTTGCTTTCTTACATTTCCTTTTCTTTGGGATCATTTTTGTTGCTGCCTCCTGTACAATGTCACAAGCCTCCATCTATAGTTCTTCAGGCACTCTGTCCACCAGATCTAGCTCCTTAAATCTGTTCCTTAAATCTGTGTATTCATAAGGGATTTGGTTTCGACTGCACCTGACTAGCCCAGTGGTTTTTCCTACTTTCTTCAGTTTAAGCTTGCATTTTGCTATGAGAATCTGATGATCAGAACCACAATCAGCTCCAGGTCTTGTTTTTGCTGACTGTATAGAGCTTCTCCATCTTTGGCTGCAGAGGATATAATGAATCTGTTTTCGGTACTGCCCATCTGGTGATGTCAATGTGGAGAGTCACCTCTTGTGTTATTGGAAAAGAGTATGTGTGATGACCAGCTTGTTCTCTTGATAAAACTCTGTTAGCCTTTGCCCTGCTTCGTTTTGAACTCCAGGGCCATATTTGCCTGTTTTTCCTTTTATCTCTTGACTCCTTACTTTAGCATTCCAGTCCCCTATAATGAGAGGAACACATTTCTTTGGTGTTAGTTCTATAAGGTGTTTTAAGTCTTCATAGAATTGGTCAATTTCAGCCTCTTCAGCATTGGTGGTTGGTGCATAAACTTAGATTACTGTGATGTTGAAAGGTCTGCCTTGGATTCGTATTGAAATCATTCTATCATTTTTGAGATTGTATCCCAGTACAGCTTTTCCCACTCTTTTGTTGACTATGAGGGCTACTCCATTTCAACTGCGGGATTCTTGCCCATGATAGTAGATATGGTATTCGCGAAGGCTTTCATGGCTGGGATCTAATGGTTGTTGTGGGTTTTTTGGGCTCTTTGGCCGTGTTCTGAAGGTTGTTCTTCCTAATGTTTCACCAGTCTCTGTGGCCGGCATTTTCAGAGGACAGCACTCTGTGCTCTGGTGTAGTTGGCTTGGGAGTGCAGTATTTATGGCTGTGAGATGGGCTTTTGTCTTTTTCTGTAGATGGGTGATTAGCGTGTCTTGTTGTGGGTATATTGTTGTGATAAAAAGGAGAAATTATTTGTCATAATTTTATCTGTGATAAGGAGGACAGATAATCTCTCCTTCTTATCACAACAATACACAACAATACTTGTCCTCCGTTCTTCCTCAGTAGCATGTTGGATGCCTTCAGCCTGAGGACTCATCTTCCAGTGCCATATCTTTTAGCCTTTTGTTTCTGTCCATGGAGTTTTCTTAGCAAAGATACTGGAGTGGCTTGCCAGTTCCTGATCCAGGCGGATCGTGTTTAGTCAGAACTCTCCACTATGACCTGTCCATCTTGGGTGTTCCTGCATGGCATAGCCCATAGCTTCTCTGAATGATTCAAGACCCTTTGCCATGACAAGGCAGCAATCCATGAAGAGGTGACAGATCATACTTGACTACAAAGTCCATACTTATTCCCCAGTAACCAATCACAAAACAAAAGCAATTTAATTTGTCACATGCCCAGGGCTGAGGAAAGCCCATGCAGAGAGGAACAAACATCTTTTACCTCAGAAAGAAGCTCTGCTGCTACTGAATGCAAACTGTACCTGAGAGCTTGACCCTAGGGTTTAGCAGCAGCTCCTCCAAGTTTGCTGAGCATTAGTTTTCCCACAATGGCAGTTGGAGAAAGTCAATGATGAATGAAGAGAGGGAAAGAAAGACAGGGAACCTACTTTTCCTTCTAAGAAATGGCCAGGGGAGGGCAGTCTTTTAAAGGCTAAATGTTTATTTGATTTCCCCTTTCTTTTAATTGTATTATGAGTCCATGTCATTTCTTCTTTCATCTTCAGAAACACAACTAAAACTGAATATAATCCTTCCAAAAGCTATATGGTCTTTCTGCACAAGACAGTCTCTTATCAACAAATATAAACATCAATAAAGTTAAATAAATCATTGAGATAAAATGATAGCCTACATTCAAGGTAACATAAGAGCTTCATTTTCCCCTACTTTTCTTGGCAGCAAATTTAGAAAGAAAGTTATCAAAAGATATTTTTCTAAGAAGATCCCATTTTATAAAGAGAACAGGTAATGATGATGATCTTGACTGCAGCGTTGTTGATAGGAATTTATTTTCAATACAGGATAATTTGAAGAACACTCTTTTCCTTCACAGTTTACAATGGACTACAGTTACACAAAAGTGGAAAGCTGTAGTAACATTCAGGGATGAGCAAATTTGTGAAACTTGATTTTGTTTAGCTTCCCTGTTTCTCTTTTCATACCTAATACTACTCTGTCCCAGTTCCATACTGGATTGTGATTATTTCTTAAGTATTTCTTTATTATTTCATTGGAACAAAACTTCAGAGATATTTCCATATGTTGTATATATTGTTATTTATATTTTACCCATTTTCCTATGGTTTTCAAACAATTTTTTCCATTGAACAAGGACTTTTTGTATACCCTTTTCCTGATCTGTACTTTGTGTCTGTACCTTTCCACAAATACATGTTTTATGCTTGCTTTGCTTTCTTACGTTTTGCTTCGTAGAAGTGAACCTCAGGAAAGTATGGATTTTATTCTCTTAATTAGTACAGTTCATATAGTTGCCATAAGTTTGAGGCAACTTGATAGCACATAAAAACAGCAACAAAGAAACCTCAGATTTAAAATTCCTCACATAAATTAAAAAGGCAAATTTTGCTTATTTTGAAAGAGAATTGTTGACCCCACTCACTTTAATTTATTTGGAAAGAATCTAGGATGTAGGAGCTGAAATATTGGTCCCCAAAAAAGCCTTTCAAATGGGAGAAACAGTGATTTTGTATATCACTGAACATGCGTGGTACACTCTTGTGAGGAAGACCTTCGGCAAAGAGCTTTTGTGCCTATATCCTATCAGTTGGTAGTTGGATACCTCAACTTTTTCAGCCATTTTGTCACTATACAGTTGTTTGGATATTTAAGATATTAGGTGCCATCAAGTACTAAGATGATGATGAAGAAGTCCCTCCTGATGTGTGTTGACTATATAAGTTAAAGACCTCCGAAATGTCATATCATTAACAGCTCTCCGCAGATCTTACAAAGCAACATCTCGTGTTAGATCATTTTCTCTTCCTACTGCCCACCTTTCCTAGCAATATTATCTTTTCCAGTAAGTTCTGCTCAGGTCTTGCAAACTAACAAATGTGTTATTATTTATTAAGTTGATCTGTCTCATGTTAGGACTTCCTCTCTTCCTTCTGTCACCAACACCCTTTTCCAAGCAATATTTTCTTTTCTGGTTAATTCTGCATTCTCATTATAACTGCATTATAAGATTACCTGAAGGCTTAAAGGGTGCATATATTTTTCCATTCTATGCATTCCACTGACTCACATGTTTGCTTTACTATTCATTAATTCAAAAACAATTCTTCATAATATTTTGACACAGAAGGATTTCAGCTCCGTCCCAGCTGTTCTTGATTCTGTCATCTCCTGGCAACTATAGTAGAGATCGTATGACCATCTTCTGGGCTCTTCCAGCAGTGGGTCATTCTACATGAGGAAAGCTGCTGTTTCAATTTGTGTGTAGTGTATGTATAGTGTACCTAAATATTTATTTTTAAAACCCAGGAATTTGTTGAAAAATTGCCGTGACAATTGCTTTGTGTTTGGGAGAGAAGTGGTTAACTGATAGAAAAAGGAATCGGATTCTGAGATTTTCTTCTGCTAGGTGCCTTTTTGTAAACACAAAAGGGTATCCTGTAGTTTATTTTGACTGCTCCCATTGGTATCATCAACATTCAGTTTATTTTGACTGCTGCCCGTTGTAGGTAAAGGTTTGCATGCTTTTTCCTGCTGACAACATGAGCAAAATATTGTGCAGTAATATCAAGCAATTGTCAGGCATTTTGAGTTGTGGATAGAGAAGCACAACATCCCACATTCATAAACTAGAGGTGTTTCTGAAGAATTGAGTATTCACTACTCCAAGCTGACAGGACTCCACTCCTTCTTCTCTTTTCTTTCACTGAAGTACTGTAAAGAAAAAAAGATGGCTCTTGACTGAAGTATTACCAAGGAAATATCCCCCTGACATCTTGGCAATGAAACTGATAGTAGGCACAGGGTATAGTGACACTCTCTGATGACTTCCGGTCCGCAGAGAGCTGCACATGGGGTAGAATTTGGTCTCCTCTTCCTGAAATCTGGTTCCTTCCCTTCCCTTCCCTTATGTAGAATCTTTAGTTTTACTCCCTACAATCATAAGGACCTGAAACAGTTGAGCAATAAAATTACATAGGAATTGAAATTTAAATGGCCTGAAATATAAAATAACCTTCATGTTGTTCAGATGTAGTTTGCTGCTGGTTAATTTCATCCTAAGTGGAATTTATCACCATTCTGTTCTAATTGGAGAAACAAGGAAAATTCCTTAGGGGGAAATGCAAAGGATAAACATCTCTAATTAGCATTGCCACCACATATCACCATAGCTGCTCTAGCCACCTGCTTGTGACAAACAGAGAGAGGAAATAATTTGAACCTGGAGGATTTATAATGAATGTGATAATTTAACTTTATTGCATGTCACCACCACAAGATTCTTAGGCAGTTTCACGCATCTGGAGCAGGACTGTGGCATTTTTGGGTAGCAAAATTATTTTGCTGATAGGCTTTCTTTCAAAAAGCTGAAATAAGCATCCAGAATCAGGTACACTGATAATCAGAGGCTGGTCTAATCTGGAGAATCTACATAATAAAGCATCATCCATCTATACCCTCCAGCCAGCATTCTTATGATTTTTACTACTTTATTTTCAGAGGGTTTTGTTGCCATTATTTGTAACAACAAGGAAAATTTATATTCAAGTTCACCCAAAAAGGGTGTGGGATCAATAAGAAAGAAGATGGAGGGGTTGTTGTTTTTTGTTTCTTTTGTTTTATTTTGTTGTTGTTTTTTAAAGAAGAGGAAGTTGAGTAAAGAAGGGTAGAAAGGAGTTGAAGATACACAAAAATACAACCCCAAAATAGGCTTCTGGATTTAGGTAGGTTCATTTGGTAATGGTTACTTTGGGAAGCTGCCTTTGATTATTTTGCAGATAAACAATGAAAAGACTCTCTAGACTCACAAAGAGAGCATGGCATAATAAGAAGCTGACGGCATATACCAAGATCCAGGTCTATAGAGCCTGTGTCCTGAACACACTCCTGTACTGCAGTGAGTCCTGGACCCTTTGTGCACAGCAGGAGAGGAAGCTGAACACCTTCCATATGCGTTGCCTCCGACGCATTTTTGGAATCACCTGGCAGGACAACGTTCCAAATAAAGTAGTCCTAGAATAAGCTGGAATTTTTAGCATGTATACATTACTGAAACAGCAACGTCTACATCTATGTTGGCTTGGGCATGTTGTGAGAATGGCTGATGGTCGGATTCAAAAGCATCTCCTGTATGGAGAACTGGTGCAGGGAAATCACCCCAGAGGGAGACCACAGCTGTGATACAAGGGTCAGCAAGCGGGATCTGAAGGCCTTAAGGAATGGACCTCAACAGATGGGAAATCTTGACATCTGAGTGTTGAGCCTGGAGGCAAGCAGTGCAATTTGAAGAGACCATTGTCCAGCAGGCCGAGGCAAAGAGGCAGACCCAAAACCAGCAAAATCAGGGAATAGACAGGGGACAGATTGTATTTGTCCTCATTGTGGAAGGGATTGTCACTCTCGAATTGGCCTTCTCAGCCACACTAGACACTGTTCCAAGTCCTCCATACAGAGCACGTTACCATAGTCTCTAATCTAAACAATGAAAAGCTACCAGGGTGACTCTGCTGTCAATTAAAAATTCTTTTGAGAATTAAAAATATTCCCAAAAATGAGAATTCAGGAAAGTACCTTTCAATTCAAGAAGCCTCCTCGAAGAATGTGAGGACTAGAATACATTCAGGCATCGCCTGGTGACAACATCACCCTGTTGACACATTCTTCCACTCCACTTTGCTTCTGAGGTGGACAAAGTAGAAGATTATTTCCTCAAGCATCACACGATCTCATAAAGCAAATTTATGTGATGAAAGGAACAATACACCACGACACTTCTTTTGTCAATGTGAAACAAAGAGAACTGCATATAAGAGAGCATGTAAAGGAGCTTTTTTGTGATGTGCAACAGTGCCTGCAGAGGCGTTTTTTTTGGTGGGGAGGGGCATAGCTGCATACAGGTATGATTCCTACAAATAGTTGTTATGCCTAGTGTGCATAACTGCAACATAATTCATTTGCCTATTTTCATATGTAAATACATTAGATAAATTTCTTGGAAGCTATCACATATTTTGTCTGCCACTGACATACAAGTACACACAGACACATTGTTATTGTCAAATAATTATCTTTCTTCATAAGAAACTCAGCAAAAGCATAGCAGCAAGTTCTATGGGAAATATATGTGTATGAGACATGGGTGACTCATATTTGTATCCTTGGAGATACAAATATGAATTGTGGCACCAGAGTTGCCATGGAGTCCCATTCCCTCCCACCAGAACTGGCCAGTACACTTGTGTGTGTGTGTTTAGTCGTTTAGTCGTGTCCGACTCTTCGTGACCCCATGGACCAGAGCACGCCAGGCCCTCCTGTCTTCTACTGCCTCCCGGAGTTGTGTCAGGTTCATGTTGGTTGCTTCGCAGACACTGTCCAGCCATCTCATCCTCGGTCGTCCCCTTCGCCTCTTGCCATCACACTTTCCCAACATCAGGGTCTTTTCCAGTTAGTCTTTTCTTCTCATTAGATGGCCAAAGTACTGGAGCCTCAGCTTCAGGATCTGTCCTTCCAGTGAGCACTCAGGGTTGATTTCCTTTAGAACTTACTAGTACACTTACTAGTCCCCATGTGGCACTCAAGGTCCTCTGCCATTGTCATCGCACCAAGGAGCCCATCCGGTGCTTCCCCATCTCCACGCACAGCTAACCACTCCAGCAAGGGATGTGGGATGGGGAGTCTCCTTGCTCAGCTGATCAGTAGAGTGTGAGTGTGATGTTTACCCCATGGCCTCTACTTGTTTCACCAAACACAGAGCTCACACAAATATTCCAACATGCCCTTTAATATGTTGCCACCAGTTTATCTCTTTATCAACCTATATTTCCTAAGAAAGACTAAGGTCTATTCAGTACTGAACACTTAAACAGAAACAGGTTTATTGATTACAAGTTGTTTTAGGAATAGTTCTTAAGCACTTTCTTAAAGTTACACCAAGCTTCAGTATTTTACTTTAACCTCTTCTATCTTCATTAATACAGGTCACACTCTGACAAATCACTCCTTAAACACTCTCTCTGCCTCAAACCCCAAAAACTCTCTCTCTCTCTTCTCTGTCTCTGACTGAACTAGACTCTCCCTCCCTTCTAGTTTCTCTGGCTTCTTCTCTGTCTCTGTCTAACTGGACTCTGACTCCCCCTCCCTTCTAGTTTCTCTGGCTCCTCTTCCCGACAGTTCTCATTAGTACATGCAAATACACTGCTGAATATTCATGTCATGGGTGATCGCTACAGTGGGTAGGCAGGGAAGTCTAGTAGTTAGAGTCATGGTGTAACAATTCAGAGATACTGAGTCAAATTCTGCTATAATACTCATTGTGTGTATTCAGAGGCTAACCTACATCACACCACTGCTGCAGAGAGAGAGAGAGACAGAGAGAGAGAGAGAGAGAGAGAAGGGTGGGCTTGTAGGAGGAAGGTCTTCATAAAACATGGAGGTCTTCATAAAAATATTAAAACTCCCACCCACCCTGAAGTTTATAATAGCAATGTGTGCTATGTGCTGTGAGGTTCTGACGTATGGTGGCACTAGAATGTGAGATATTAAAGTGGTGATTTTACCATTGCCACCACACCCCAGAGAGCTTCCATGAACAAGTGGCAATTTGAACCCACGTCTCCCAAGGCCTGGCCCAACCCTATTGTCTATACTACACTAGTTCTTTATTACAATAGCTGGATCTCTCTAAATATGATTTGGTGAAGGCAAATGCAAAACTGTCAGTAAGCACTAAAGAATGCTGGAAGGAACAACAACTTTAGGAACAACATCAACTTAAGCAACTACACTAGTTCTTTATTACAATAGCTGGATCTCTCTAAAATATGATATGATTTGGGCAAATGAAAAACAGTCAGTGTGTGCACACACAGTAAGCACTAAAGAATGTTGGAAGAAATAACAACTTTAGGAACAACATCAACTTAAGCAAGCAGTGTTAAACTGATCATATCTGGAGGAAGAATATATTTTCAGCAAACATTTCATAATACAGAGAAAATTTAAAGGACAATGAGGAAGCTAAAGCTCTCCAGATTTTATTGGACTCCATTTCCATCAGCCTCTGATAGCATAATCAATGGGTAGGAGCGATGGCATCTGAAGTCCAACACAATCTGAAGGGGCAAAGTTCCTGCAGTCATACCCTATTAATATCTGTCAACAGCCTATAGTGGCAGGTTTGAATATGAAAACAATAATTGGTTGTTTTCAAGCAGCATAAAAAATAGATTTGGGGTGAATGGGATAGGGGAGTGAAGTAGTAGTGTAAAAGGTAAAGGTAAAGGTTCCCCTTGACAATTTTTGTCCAGTCGTGTTCGACTCTAGGGGGGGGTGCTCATCTCCGTTTCCAAGCCATAGAGCCAGGGTTTGGTCCGAAGACAATATTCCGTGGTCACATGGCCAGTGCGACTTAGACACGGAACGCTATTACCTTCCCATTGAGGTGGTCCCTATTTATCTACTTGCATTTGCATGCTTTCGAACCGCTAGGTTGGCGGGAGCTGGGACAAGCGACGGGAGCTCACTCCGTTGCATGGATTCGATCTTACGACTGCTGGTCTTCTGACCCTGCAGCACAGGCTTCTGCGGTTTAGCCCGCAGCGCCACCACGTCCCTTGTAGTGGTGAGTCCCACAAAATGCATGTTCATTAATTTTAGTGGTATTTAAAAGAAATTTGTTGTAGATCAGTCAAGGAACAGAAATTATACATGTGGCCACAACCTAGGCAACTGTGTCTCTTTCATCAGTAATAAATTAAAACCTATGCAGTTGTATTCAGTAACAACCCTGTAGGGATAGGTGAAAATGTTGTTGTGTTGACCCTTTAATGATGATCTAATTCACACTAACAATCACTCAATTCAGATGAATGATTACACATTTCACATGGTAGGATTACCCAATTCACATTTTGTAGAGCAGAACAAAGAGCTAAATATGATTTCCAGATGGAAGTCAAGCTTGCAGAATAATTTGCAGAAGTGTTATAAAAAAATGACATTCTTCTCCCCAAGTGTGTGCAAACAAGCATTACTCAGTGGGAGAATGCATGTATAGACAGAGAGTTTTGTAAGCACCCAAACAAAGATATATGTACAGTATTTTGGGAAATGTGCACAGAAATTCATGTGAATCTCCATGCAGTGGTCAGGCTCATTGTAATCCAACGTGGACCCAGTATTGAAATGATCTTGGCAGACCAAAATGGAGAATCTCAATGAGATTCTCAATGAGCCTGACAAATTTGCACATTCCTAACAGCATGTAACAGACAGTGGTCCCCAGCTGGCTTTCAGTGAGATTGATTGATTTCTACACCTTCTCACTTCTCACATTAACGTTTTTTGAAAACCTCTACAACCATGTATTGTTATTCTTTGCCATGATTCAGAGAATATTTTTCTGTCCCTTTTCAATGACTTTTCTACCTTATTGTCACACAGCACAAAGAGTTCTCCCATGAGTTGAAAGACGGGCTGCTATGCTAGGAACTATATTTTATTATCTCATCTAAAATGGAATGCTTAAGCACTTTCCAAACAACAGATTAGGCTCCTATGCCAAGCTTTAGCACCATTACCGCCTAGCATTTACTCAGTGACATATCTTCAAATGAAAGGTTAGGTACATTATGCAATGATGAAATGAATTATTCAAATTTCCTTCCCAATGACAAAAGCACCTTACTTGAAACATACATTTTGGTATCACAGTAAAACATTATTTTAAGACAATGGGAGGGGGAGGGAAAAAAAGAAAAAAGAAAAAATGAAATCTATCAGTTACATTAAAATGACAATAATAAGCAGAGATGTAGGCCAGGACCATAGCTCAGAATCACAGAACATACTGTATGGTACAATGTGCTTCATACCCTGAAATTTACTGTTAAAACTATCTCAATATAACAGAAAACTTAAAAAGCATCAGGATACTGCTAGTACTATTCTTTCCCTCAAATGTTTGCATTTTAAACTGCGAGTCCTAGAATCCCTTACCTCAAGGACTTCAACATCAGAAAGTCTAAGCACCTTTCTTCCTGCAGCTCCTTGATCAGTGGAGGTCCGTGACACTATTGGAGAATTTGGCTAATTCCTTTTAAAGTCAGCAGAGTATCAAGTACAAACAAATGCACAGAGAATAGCTAAAGTCTCAGTAGCCCACCCATTTTTCACTGCAACTAGCACTTTATATGTTAAAAATCCCTCTGGAAACATTTTATGTGGTGGGGGGGGCGAAGAAGGATCTTTACTTACGGTTGTTGTTAATAGTTACAGTCAGTTGAAAAATAGGAAGAACTCAGTCTCGACACATGGGTGAGATCCCCCCATGCTTCCAAACAACAGATACCATATTATAATTTCAAAAAATTCCATAGCACCATAATACAATGCTTAGTATTAGCTGATTATTCTCCCCATTTCCCAGCTGTTTATGTAATTAACACACTGAAAGCACATTACCCATGTTAATAATACAATTCCAATCTTATAAATAAATAAATTTCACTTAGCCAGCCACCTCCAGCTATGTGGACTGTCTATATAAACTCGCGGTCTAAATATTGCAGTCCATGGATCTGAGGAAATAGATTGTAACCTATGAGGGCTCACACTGAATTGTACTTGCTAATCTTAAAGGAAACACTAGCCTTCGTTAATAAAGACAACAATTTAAATATTTTAAAGTGATTAAAACGCTAACTGTTTTACCTTTTAAAAATGATGCAAAATTAACACCACCTGGTGGTCTTTGTTTGTTTTTACTGGACATTCACTGGAGGAAAAATGTCAATGTTAAAAGGATTAATTTGAAAGGAAAGGGAAATGGGAAAAGTACAATCCACCTAAGGCTATATGATGCATACAGAAATTATCCACAGATTCCCACCTGCAGGTTCTGCATAGTGTCAAATAGCTCACTATATTCTGTGACTGTTGAAGCACAGAGATTTGAAGGAATTATGTTCCCGGAGGGAAAAGGATGCTATCAGCTTATAACAATAAGGCTAGCATCTTGTCTAAGTTCCCATGCTCAGTTGAATGTGATCTGAATCTCTCTTTGTACCTTCCAGTTCATTCTTGGAAGTTTGCAGGTAAGGAATAGGGCTACCACACTTCAGTTCTTATACTTTCATAACTCCTGTGGAGATCTAAATCCTTACATTATATGAGACATTTCAATAGTGACCATCCCAAAGAAACGAGAGCATATTCTCAAAATTCAAATAAGTAAAGTCCTGCCTTATCAGGGATGTTATAAAATTCAGAATATCTGTTTCATACTTACAGTAAAATTTAATTATATGACACCCGAGGTGGAGATAATGGTGATGAATCTTGCTTGATGAAAACATCTCTCAGCCTAACATAATATCAGAAGCTTTTAATATGAATGGTCTCTCTCCTTCATATAATTTTTTCTCATATATTATAAGTAAGGATTTGCAAGAAGCCAACAATTCTATGGATAAGGGTTACTGAAGCTTGGAGATAAGAATTGTAAAACTTTAGACGGCTGGATCAGACCTTGCTAAAGTCCATCAATGTGTAGAAGTGATTTGGATGGCTTTGGGAGGGGCATATCCTCTTTGAGCTCATTTCCTTTTGCAAAATAACAATGTCTGCCACAGACTGATAAAGTTGTTCCAGTATTTTTTTTTCTGCCGTCAGAGTGGCTGTAAGCCTGGTATACAATGCAAACCCTATGATGCAGCACAACTGAGTACTCGAGGCAGCAGAGTGTACCAATTGCTGGAAGAAACACAATATGAGACAACATGACATTATGGGATCACTGGAGGCACATGTACACACTGGAACAGTAGACTAGGCATCAAAGTTGTTCCTCTTCCATACAAATCTGTGTTCATTTCAGTATCGGCATGTAAATGTATTTCACCACAGCGCAGCAAAATTTAGCCAAACCAGGGACACTGCTGTCACTGCCCCCTCCCCATTTTCATAGAATCACAGAATAATTGAGTTGGAAGGGACCTATTGGGTAAGGCCATCGAGTCCAACCCCCTGCTCAATGCAGCAATCCAAATCAAAGCAGATCTGACAGATGGTTGTCTAATTTTCTCTTGAATGCTTCCAGCATTGGAGCGCTTTCCGAGGTAATTGGTTCCATTGCCATACTCTTCTAACAGTTATGAAGTTTCGTTTGGCCTGATATTCAGCCTAAATCTGGTTTCCTGTAACTTGAGCCCATTATTATGTCTCTTGCATTCTGGGATGATTGAGAACAGATCCTGCCCCTCTTCTGCGTGACTATCTTAAAAGTATTTGAAAACTGCTGTCATGTCTCCCCTCAGTCTTCTTTTCTCAAGGCTAAACATGCCAAATTCTTTCAGTCTTTCCTCATAGGGCTCGGTTTCCAGTCCCCTGGTGATCATTATTGTCCTCCTCTGAACTTGCTCCAGTTTGCTGGCATCCTTCTTAAAGTGCGGTGTCCAGAACTTTTTGTTCTTTTGTTCCTCCAGATCTTGGGAAAGTTCCTTTTGTCACAAAGAATGCCTCAGCCAGTATTTCCAGTAAAAAGGGTAAATTTCTCACAATTTCCTTTTGTAACAACGATGTTACCTTCTGCTTGTAACATAACCAGTCTTTTTGTTCCTTTTTCGAGTTTAACACTGTTTTAATAACTTTTAAAGTGTAAGTGAGTGTGCAATCTTACCACTTAGATCACTGGTTCTTAACCTTGGGTTACTCAGGAGTATTGGACTGCAACTCCCAGAAGCCTTCACCAGCAGCTGTCCTGACTGGGGTTTCTGGAAGTTGCAGTCCAAAAGCATCCGAGTAACAAAGGTTAAGAACCACTGACTTAGATTGTGGTTTGTAACACAGACTGGCTGCTTGGAGCATTCCAATCTTTTTTTTTTTTGAAAAAGAAATGAAAACAAATGAAGTCACAAAACTACCTTTTTGAATAACAAAAAAAGGAAACCGTTCCTTGAAAAAGAAATGTTAGTAATTGGCAGCATTGGGGATTTGCAACTTATACTTGTAACTAATTACAGTTTTCTCTAAAAGAGTATAGTATTTTCTTCTCCAGCCCATTGACTTTCAGTGTTGGTTTCCATACATTTCTGTTTTGCATTATGCTAATCGCTGCCAGTCCTGAGGATCTTTTGAAATCATCTGTCCATCTAGTTTATGGTCTTTCTCTACTCTTTCTTTCGATCCAAAGTCAACACTGATACATTTTTTTTTCTTCAATCACTCATCTACATGTCTCATGGTGCATTTTAATTTGCTATTTGTTCTTTTGCATCTTTTTTTGTCTTTTGTTGAATAACTTGATTTCTTACTTTATCGATCGGTTTGATATTCAGCATCTGTCTTGCTATTATTCTTTTTCCAAGTGCTTTTATTGTTATCTCTTCTATTATGGATTTTGTTATGAGTCCAGGTTTTTACAACATACCGTATTTGCCGGCGTATAAGGCAACTGGGCGTATAAGATGACCCCCCAACATTTCCACTCAAAATGTAGAGTTTGTTACATACTTGCTGTATAAGACTACCCCCTCTTCCACATGCATGATTCTGCTTTGGCTGCATCATGGGGAGAGTTCGTTTTGCCGCTTTTGGTTCCTTTCGCTGGGAGAGAGCGAGGGTTTGCTGGAAGAAGGACAGCATCGGCGCCAAACAGCTGACTGTTGGGAACCAGCAGAGAGGCGGCAGCCATTTTGGAGAGGCAGCAGCCATTTTGAGAGGCAGCAGCCATGTGGTCATCTCAAAATGGCTACTGCCTCTCTGCTGGTTCCTGACAGTCAGCTGTTTGGCGCTAGAGTCAGGCTGTTCCCAGGCTACCAAGAAGGAGCGGGCTAGGTCTACTCAGTCTTACTACCAGGTAAGTGACTTTGCTGGGAGAGAGGGAGGGTTTGCTGGAAGTGCACCCAGCGTATAAGATGACCCCCCCACTTGGAGGCATGTTTTTCAGGGCCAAAAAGTCATCTTGTATGCGGGCAAATATGGTAGGTCCAGATAGGCAACATATATATAGGCTGAAATGCAGTAGTGATCACAACTATTGGAGCAGGCCCATTGAATCAGTGGAATTTGCATATTGATTCACCAAATCCCCACTGATTTGATAAGCCTACTCTGTTTGTTCAGTTGATAAACAATGGCCACTAGATTCAATATAATTCAATTGATAAACAATGGCCACTAGATTTTGGCCATTGTTTATCAATTGAATTATAAACATAATAGGATAGGATAGGATAGGATAGGATAGCCCATTGAATCAGTGGAATTTGCATATTGATTCACCAAATCCCCACTGATTTGATAAGCCTACTCTGTTTGTTCAGTTGATAAACAATGGCCACTAGATTCAATATAATTCAATTGATAAACAATGGCCACTAGATTTTGGCCATTGTTTATCAATTGAATTATAAACATAATAGGATAGGATAGGATAGGATAGGATAGGATAGGATAGGATAGGATAGGTACCTTTAAAATAGTAACTGAATAATTTAATTGAATAATTAAGTAATTACTACTCAAAAGTTTCAGAACTAAGAAAGGGTATGATTGATTGATTGATTGATTGATTGATTGTAGAGGACAGGCAGGCTCATATGGAAGAACGCAGTCCTTTAGGTAACCAGGTCCTAAGCTATTTAGGGCTTTATATGTCAAAATAAGCACTTTGAATTGGGCCCGAGCAGCAACCGGCAGCCAGCGTAAATTTTTCAGCACCAGCGTGATATGAGTCTGTGCAGCTGCGCCACTTACCAGCTGCACAGCCCAGTTCTGTGCCAGTTGCAGTTGCCGGACCATCCTCAAAGGCTGCCCCACATATAGTGCATTGCAGTAGTCCAGTCTGGTGTTTACCAGTGCATGTGTGACTGTTGCCAGGGTCCGCTCTTCCAGATAAGGGCAAAGTTGATATATTCTCTGCAGCTGTAAGAAGGCAGCCCTGGACACAGAGTCCACCTGGGCTTCCAAGGTCAGACCTGGGTCAAGGAGCATCCCCCAAGCTGCAGACCCTGCCCTTTAGGGGGAGTAGAAGGCAAAAACTGTAACTTCAATTATTTCTAGCTGGTATTTAACAAATTGTTGCTTGAATTCTCAGAAGAAGGGGACTCATCAATTGTCAGTTGGAAGGCACTGGCTGAAATCCTCTTCTATAAGTTACACTGTGTGACATCATGAGCCATTATGATTTTTCAGAAATAAAACATTTCTCATTCCCACCCAAAGAATATTGCTGGCTTAAAATCTCCATTAATGCAGCAGAGAAAAATCCAAACAGGGACCTAGAGATCAGATTACTATAGTTGACAAGTTTCCCTCAAATATGCCACTTGTTACTGTATAGATAGTTTAGTTAGATTTACCTCAACCGGCACAACATAATCTCTACAGATGCAGTCATAGACTCTGGTGTACAGAAAGAATAAAAATTTATCTCTTTTATTCACCAGCCTGCATATATGTCAGAAACAAACACACTTATTTACAGTAGGACCTCCATATCTACAGGATCAGTAGCTTCAGTTTCACTTATCCACAGTCTGAAAAAAATTCAAATTTTTTTTTAATCCATAAAAACTATTTTCACATGTATTACAGAACTGGCCACTAGAGGGAGTGAGAGACTGTGCTATGGATACTTGTTAGGTAGGAATATTCATAGTCTCTGGCACCTTCTAGTGGCCAGTTTTGGTAATGCATGTGAAAATTATTTTTCTGGATTTTTTTTGTTTGTTTTCCTTTTACCATTTCCTGTTCAGTGTCCACAGGGGCTTGAACCCAATCTTCAGTGGATATGGGGGTCCTACTGTACTAGTTAATAAGAGATCTCAACTGGTTAATTTGATTATTTTGACTAGTTATAGAGACATTTCACTCAGACTCTAACTGCTGAATCCATAACTGACACTCTAACAGAACACTGATATTGATAAACTGAATCTAAGAGAACACAGAACTCTGACTGAGTACAAAGGTGGAAGAAAGGAATCTGAGGCAGTGAGAAAAAAATTGCCTGCTACTATTTGATTGACATTAACACCCATTAAGTCCCTCCCATCCAAACCTCCCAAAGGCATAATATGCAGGTTGCTATCGTTCTAACATTTAAAATAAATATAACATTCCCCATTTCCCCCATGCCAACAGGACGTCCCAACACTCCTTTCTATTGGGAAATCTTTGGTGGACTGCAGGGCAGGGTGGAGGTATTTAGATTCCAAAAATCACTGCCCTTCGGGATGACATTATTGGCAGTGGTGATTTCCTAAAATTAAAGTCCTGCTGCATCTGATGATGTTAATAACTTTATGTAGTGTACCTTACAGAAAAAGGTTTCCGCCACTAAAAGTTACTCAGTTTGCCCTTTGTGCAGAACAAATCAAAAGGATTCCAGCCATTATTTGA